GCTGTGGTGTTTGTGTTGGATTGAGCAATGGCCTGACACTGGCCCTGCCTCCTCTGATTCTGCTGTCCGTCCACATCTTCATACCCATGATCATCATCACTGATCACTTCAGTAGCTGTGGTGTTTGTGTTGGATTGAGCAATGGCCTGACACTGGCCCTGCCTCCTCTGATTCTGCTGTCCGTCCACATCTTCATACTCATGATCATCATCACTGATCACTACAGTAGCTGTGGTGTTTGTGTTGGATTTAGTAATCGCCAGAGACTGGCCCTGTCCTGTTTGATCGTTTTTGTTGTCCACATCTTCATACTGATGATCATCATCACTATCAGCAGTGGTGTCTGTGTTGGTATGATTATGTTGGTCATTATTTTCATACTGGTGATCTTGATCACTGGGATTATGTTGGTCATTATTTTCATACTGGTGATCTTGATCACTAGGATTATGTTGGTCATTATTTTCATACTGGTGATCTTGATCCCTGGGATTTTGCTGGTCATTATTTTCATACTGGTGATCTTGATCACTGGGACTATGTTGTTCATTATTTTCATACTGGTGATCTTGATCATTGGGATTATGTTGGTCATTATTTTCATACTGGTGATCTTGATCACTGGGATTATGTCGGTCATTATTTTCGTACTGGTGATCTTGATCACTGGAATTATGTTGGTCATTATTTTCATACTGGTGATCATGATCATGATCACTAGTCACTTCTGTGGCTGTGGTGTTTGTGTTGGATTTAGTGGTGGGAGACTGGTCCTGCCGACTGTTTGGTGGATTGGTGGTACCTCCGTTTGTATGATTAACCTGTAAGGCGGCTAGTTGTGCTTGAAAACGTGGATCATTTGGAATATTTGTGGGGTCATTTCCTGAGCGGGGATTTCCAGTCCTCGTCTTGTACCAGATTTTGCGAATGATGGAATTAATCAGGACATAGGCAGCTATTGAACCAAAGACACAGGCAATGACAACCTCCGGGGGCAACCTGCCAGTGACAGTGAGAGGTGTGGGGAGGGGTGGCGTTGTGCGAGTTTTTATCACTTTCCAGTTGGCAATTGTCTTCACAAACCAGGTCTTTGGTCGGGTCGAGAGCATTGGTCCAGAAAACATGGCAGGACGATGAGTAATGTCATTGTAACCCGATTGGTCAGGAATAGGAATAAATGTAGTTGACACTTCACAAATCAGGTCTGTCACATTGATATCTTTTAGCTTTTGACCAGAGAACCTGCCAGGCTGGGAACAAACTATTTGGTCTTCAAAAGGCAAAGAAATCAGACTCATTCATTTGTAGCCTGAAGGGAGCCATATTACAGTCGCACTGCCAGGGGTTCTTTCCAATTTCAACAATCAAAATGGACGTGAAGATGTCATAAGCTGACTCGGGGAGGACAGTCAGCTTGTTAGAGCCCAGGCACAACTTAGTGAGCTTTGGTAGGTTCGAAAATGCACCAGGCTGAATGTCAGTTATCTGGTTTTTTTGGAGGCGCAATTCTGTGAGCTTTGGTAGATTTGAGAATGTACCCGGTTGAATGTCAGTTATCTGGTTTTTATCTAGCCTCAAATCCTTGAGCTTTGGTAGATTTGAGAATGTACCAGGTGTAATGTTCGTTATCTTGTTGTAGCCTAGGTTCAATGTTTCGAGGTTTGGTAAACACGAGAATGCACCAGGCTGAATGTGAGTTACCTGGTTAAGCCATATAACCAATTCTTTCAGGTCTCTATACCATATGAGCTCTGATTGGCTTACAGATGTAATCAAATTTCCATGCAAGTATAAGTAAGTGATAGTTGTTGGCAGATCCTGAGGGATGCTGGTGAGGCCCATTCTGACGCATCTGCAGTGATCATGGTATTCACACTCATCCCAGCAGCCAGCATCCGGCATGTCGGGCTCCTTCAGGATGATGAGAAGGAAGATCAGCACGTGTCGAAGCTTTCTTCCCATGGTGTTTTGTGACCGTAATGGAATCAGAGGCTGCAATGAAAAAATGATACTTCAAATGTACATTGGAGTTAAATGAATGTATGGCAGCAATAGTAAATGTTACTACTTGAACAGACTCTTAAGTTATGCTGACCACAGAATCACACAGACAAAAAAAAAATACTTTTAATGGAGGTAATTAAGAATGCTGTATGGAGCAAAAAAATCTACTCCAGTCCTTGCCTGTTCCTTTTCGACCAGAAGATTCCAAACTTGACCAAAATTTTTGAAGGGAGAAAAAAAAGATTTTCAAAAAGATTAACTAGGGACTACAATTATAGTGTTTCCTTTTTGGCCCTCCATCGCGCAACGTCATTTGCATAGTGACGTATGCCCTGAAGTTCTGCCGCGCGCATTGGAGTCTAAATCAGTCTGGCATCTGGATATCCGATTCTGTGAACCCCGAATTTTGAATATTTACATCGAGCAAGTTGTTTACTCTGTTGCTGCCCTTTGCTGGCTGAGTTTAGAATATTATATTTTGGAAATTTTCTTCAATTTTTAATGGTGAATAATGACAACTGTTACTGTATAATCATTTTCTAGACTGACATTAAAAATTTGTAAATAGCCTCACAATGCAGCCTTCCAACAGGAGGCATGTACTATGTCTTTTTGCTGTCTCCAAGTGGCTCATGTCTTGTGAGCTATTTGGGGAGGACGTTTCCTCCAGTTGCAGTTGTTCTTGTAGGAAACGTCGCCTGTGCAGTTCATTCATTCATTTCATTTATTTATCCAGGTGATACATATCGCCTTGTCGGCGTTTTTCAATAATACCTGGGGGGTAAACCCCAACATAGTAAAATACAAACAAAGTAACTGAGGATATAATACAATGATAAATAAGAAGAAAATAATCACTATATACAAGTGTGCAATTAGTCATAAGGTAACAAAAAAAATCCAACCAAACATAAATAAGTTAAAGCGAAAGGAATTTGCATATCAATGGAACTTATCTCACAAGCATAAATCGAACAAAATCATATTAACTGGTAAGGAAAATCATAATGTTTGTAAATCACTCAACCAAAATCAAATTAACTGGTGAGGGAAGAAAGTCTGGTCTTAAATGTACTGATAGATTTTAAGTTTCTTACATGTGGCGGAAGGGAGTTCCAGAGAACTGTGCCGGAGAATGAAAATGATCTCTTTTTGTACTGCAGACGTGCTTTAGGTAGTTGGAGCCCCCCTCCCCCCCGTGTACACTATATGACATCCAGTAGATTTCTAGCGGGGACCAATCATAGGGCTGCTGACGCGTCACCGACTAGCGGCTATTAGCACCTTGTTTCATGTAAATGCCATGGACTCAACCAGAGCGCGTATATTGTTTCTTGTTTACATCAGTACTAAGCACTAGTACTTCCACAATCAGTTAGTAAAGTCATACCTTAGTAAAATCTACTTTGATGAACGAATCAAAACGGGACTGTAGACATTAAGTTTTACACATTCAAATGTGGCTGCACTAGCGCTAATGGAGCGACCACTACGTACGGGAAGGAACGGATCTTAGCGAAGCCGAGATTTGTGAAGCAAACCCAACCCATCGAAGACTGGCCGCCAAACATAAAAATGGAGGGAAATGACAGACAACAAGCCAACAAAGACAACATCACCAGACCAACAAACTTGGAAAACACCACTTCAAGCGCTAACGTTGTAAGAACTGTGGAACCTCAAACTAGTATGTTTGCGTCAGCGGAAAGGCTGTCGAAGTAACCACTACATGAAAAACTGCGGCGAAAAAGTAACATGTGTTCGTCCCAAATCTAGACGCAAGTGAGCTACAAAAGTAAAGAACCTATGCATCTTGCTTGTTGCTGTCAACTTACCCGTTAAAGATTGAACCGATACATGTACGTACTATAACTTGCCATACCCGGCCAAAGACGACTACATTACTGTTATCATTGTCATTTCTGTGAAATCCTGTGAAAAACATCTACTATTAGTTTGTGTAACATTACGTAGTGCTACAATCTGCGTAAAAAGTGGGCTTCATTACGTGTTATCTGCTAAGTCGTGTTGGTATTGAAAACTGTTTTATTTTGCCGTTCTTCTACAAACAACCAGCAGAATTATGAAGATACTCAACTTCTCAATACACATCTGCAAACTAAAGTAATGGCAGTCCTACGAAAATTCTGTTTGTAATGTATAAGCGCTTTATGTCGACGTACAATGGGTGTGAAATACATGTTTTCGCCCATCGTGTGCCACCGGCTCGGTGGTAATTGGCTACTTTACAAGTGAAAGAACCGCGTCCGTGGGCCTTGATGAATTATTCAAATTATTCAGCAGCCCTCTGATTGGTTCCCGCTAGAAATTTACTGGATGTCATTCAGTGACGACCCCCCCCCCCCCTTGCAGGCCCTCTACTATCTAGAATAACTTCTAGAAATCTCAGATACAAATCCTTCTTGTTGAGTCGATCAAAAGTATTTCATTTGAGTTCATAGACTAAGTATGATAATAATTATGAATCATTTTTTTGTGCGTCAGAATCATGGAAACTTTGTAGCTTGGTAGTCTGATCATGATGTAGTAGGATAGATTCTTTAACGAGCGTCCTTCTTTCTTGCCATCGAACGAAGAGTTTGAAATGAGACCTACTTCATCCTCCAGCATATTTGATGCACAGTATTGTGTTTGAAAGATTT